GAGGAGCCAGGATGGAGGGGGCTGGATGAATCTGCATCTCAGGGCTTAATCTGGAGTGGGGTGGTTCAATTGAGTGCCTCCTGGAGTCCCTCCTGGCTCAACCCTGGGGCCAGGGTTTGCTTCATTGCTCCTCTTTACAAGTCTGGTGAATTGAAGGGTAGGAAAGGTCCACAGCTCAGGCGGAGAACACTTGCTTTGCATGCAGAAGGTCCTGGGTTCAATCCCTGACGTCTCCCAAGTAGGTCTGGGAAATACCCCAGTCTAAAAGCCACTTGTCAATTTAGTTAGACCAAAAGAGCATCTGATTCAAAAGAAGAGACAACTGGTCTGTCTGCTTCAGGATTGTTGACTCCTGCCTTTGCAGACCTGGGGTTCTCCTGGTGTTTTGTACCAGGTTGGTAAAAGCTGGTCTACAGGGTATCAGATGGAGGTCTTTCTAACCCCTGTCTGGGATTGAACCTGGGAGCTTCTGTATGCAAAACACCTGCTTGACTATAAGCAGAGAGAAGTGAGGACAGATAACTTGGCTTTATAGTCCTGGTGAGGTGAAGTGCCTCCCTCTCAATTTGACAGCCTGTTTCACTCCCTGGAGGCGAGTGAAATTCTCATCAAATTTTGGGGTGCTACCTGCTTGCTGTCAGTGTTGTCAGTGTTTCCCCACATTCTTTTGAAACTTAGTTTTGCCATCACCTGTTGCTGCAAGAGCAGAGCCACCATTTCTCTCCTCTTGGAATCCCCTTTGGAATTCTGGGTAGAAGAAAGTGCACCCAGGTGGATCTCCATGGATGAAAAACTAAGTTTAAAAAGCACTATGGGTTAAACCACAGAACCTAGGGTTTGCTAATCAGAAGGTCGGCGGTTCAAATCCCAACGACAGGGTGAGCTCCCGTTGCTCTGTCCCTTCTCCTGCCAACCTAGCAGTTCGAAAGCATGAAGTGCAAGTAGATAAATAGGTACCACTCCGGCAGGAAGGTAAGCGGCATTTCTGTGTGTTGCTCTGGTTTCACCAGAAGTGGCTTAGTCATGCTGGCCACATGTACGCCGGCTCCCTCGGCCAATAAAGTGAGATGAGCGCCGCAACCCCAGAGTCAGCCACGACTGGACCTAATGGTCAGGGGTCCCTTTACCTTTACCTATAAGGCTCTGTAGCTTTCTGTGGATTTTGCCAGCCCCCACACTCTCCAAATCAGCCAGAGTTTCATTATAACTTCAACACACACCATCTTGAGATGAAAGTTGTTCATAGAGAACTCTCAGCTCAGCTCTACATCAGCCTGTGGTTGCAAGAGAAAAGATACCTTGGGACAAATCAGGGGTGAGAATCCTGTGGCCTGGCAGAAACCACCAAGACTCCATCTCCCACCATCCCTGAGCCTTGGCCATGCTAGAAGGGGTTGATAGGAGCTGGAGTCTAACAAGCTGTAGGGCCACAAATTCCCCGTCCCTGAAATCAGCGATTTGTCTTCATTAGTTTCCAGTATAGATCAGAGTGCTTCAACCCCACCTTCCTTAATCAGTTAAAACAAGGCAATCCCTCCCCATGAGCTGTCTAAAAAGACAGGGCACACAAGGAACAGGGGATGGGGAGGAAGAAGGGGGGAAAGCAAACATTTAAAAAAATAATATAGAGGCCAATATTATTATTTTTTTTAAAAACACACACCATTTCTCCAGCTTGGTGCAAAGAAATTTTAAAAAATTGGGAATCACATCCACACTTGGATCCAACTTACATTAGATTAAATTATATATAAATGGATCAGCGCCAAATATTTGCACCTCTGCTATGTCAAAACAATTCCTTGCTACTTTCCCTCTTTTGGTATATTAAACATTTGTTGGATCAAAAGTTCTCTCATAATTCCTCAGATATTGGCAAACATGGTGACAGCCCTATCCATATATGTTATTAGGCAATGGTGACTGAACGACAATTGCTTTGTCATGAGGCCCATTAGCTTCTGTGTTTTCTGGATTCTGATGTCTTTTTCTCAAGTCACCAACTTACAGCTAGGAAGAGTTTTGAGGGAGAAGGAGCTATCCGTTCAGCACTGCAGACCCAATCTCCATTCATATACTACTGTGCAGAGCAGCTAAGGAGTTTTCCATAGCTAATGGGCTTACACGCTCATACCTGAACACACTCTTTGAAAATAAGCTAAACTGGTTTCAGCGGAACGTACTTCTGCATAATGTGCTTAGGATCAGTCTGTTAGAAGGAGAGAAATATACAGCCTGTGAAACTGCCTTAGACTGAGTCCATCTAGTTTGACATTGTCAACACAGATTGGGAGTGACTCTACAGGGTCTCAGAAAGAGGTCTTTCCCAGCCCATTCTGGAGATTGAAGCTGGGATTTTTTGCAGTCAAAGCATGCACTCTCTACCACTGTGCTAAGGTCCCAGTTCCCCGCAGTCCCAACAACTCTTGTTGATTACTAATTGAACATGCAAATATCCTACATTGTTCTTGCAACCAGCTGGGTTTGCTTGCACCCAACTGAGAGCCAATGTCCAGGAAGGAGCCATTGTGTGGACTCAGAGCAGGGACTGGAAACCTGTAACCCTCCAAAGTTGCTGGATGCCAGCTCCCACTGGCCTCAGACAGCATAGCCAATGATCAGGGATCATTTCCTGACTCAAATCAGTGTTCTGGCTCTTACCTTGAAGACCCCATGAGACATATGCCCACCCTACCTTAGGGATTGCCTGCTTCTGAATTATTCTCATCCCCACCCCCATTCCCTCTGCTCATCTGGAGAGGCTCTGCTCCACAATGGCACCTGCTTTGCTTTCCCAGTTTGTCCAGCTGCCTTGCTTGTTGCCAGATCAAGACTTTTATTGACGCAGGCCTTTCTGAGCCGATCATTTTGTCTCCTTTATGCTGCTGCTTGTAGAAAAGGAGGAGAGGTTTTAGGTCATGGTGTCCATTTTGGTAGGACTCTGTGATTGAAATCTTGAGAAATTACTGCTGCTTTGGAGATTTTTATTGGAAAAGCTGGTGGTGGATGTTGGGAAGCCCATAGCTGTGTGAGGACTGGCTCAGCCTGGGGATCAGGTGGGCATTTTGACATGCTTCTTTCCACAACTGGGGTGGGGAACCTCAGGCATGAGGGCCAAATGTCACCCTCCAAGCCTCTCCCCAATACTGTTCTAAGACCTCATCTTTCACCAGTCTTACTCTTCACTCCCCTCGAATGCTTCTGCCTGGCTGGAATGTGTCCTTGAACTGTGAAAGGAGCTCTTGTTTGCTTGCTTGGATGGAGGATGAAGATGTGTATGAGTGTAAACCTCTGACTATGGTGTGGCTGGAATGTACCCCACTGTTCAAAGGAAAGAGTGGCAGCCTTTGCCCCACCCACTTCCCTCCCTTGTCCCACTCACCAATTGCATGCTGCCCCTGGAAAGTTGCTTGTGAAGGAATGTGGCCCCTTGCTGTCGAACAATGGCTGTCAGAGGCATTGGCAATCCACTGCATTAACAGGGCACTGGTCCACCTAGCTCCATATTGTCGACACTGGCTGGCAGTGACTCTGGACTTCAGACCAGGGTATCTCCCAGCTCTATTTAGAGATATTGAGGATGGAACCTGAGAGCTTTTGTGTGCAAAGCAGATGCGCTACAGTCTTCTCCAGTGACATGGAATGAGTTTCACTTGTCTTTGGTCAGCTTTTTGGTGTTAGCTGTTGTCTTTTAGCTTTTATTGCATTGTGGCTCGTTTCGTACTTCAGCTTTTATTATAATTTATTATTGTTGTTGTTACTGCCTGGGATCTATTCCAGTGATGTGTGACTTAGTCATGTCACGGGACATGTACCTACGGGACAGCCTCTCCCAGTATGGACCTTAAGGTCCATAAATAGCAACACCCTAGTGGTCCTGGGCTCTAAGGAAGTTAGATTAGCTTCAACCAGAGCCAGGGCCTTTTCAACACTGGCTCCGGCCTGGTGGAACGCTCTGTCTCATGAGACCAGGGCCCGGCAGGATCTGATTTCTTTGCCTGTAGGACAGAGTTGTTCCACCTGGCCTTTGGCTTGGAGCCAATTTGATTCCCTCCCCCTCTTTCTTTTTCCTTTCTCCTCCTGTGATGAGGCTGTATTTTAATGTTTCAATATTTTAATGTATTTTAATCTTGTTTTCAAGTTGTATTCATTCAACTTGTTTTTATTATTGCTTGTTAGCCGCCCTGAGCCTGGCCTTAGCTGGGGAGGGCGGGGTATAAATAAAAATTATTATTATTATTAAAAGTAAAATAATCTGAGCTACGATGCCTTGGCTTCAGATCCTGCCTGAGCCACACGCTGGCTAACCTTAGTCGGTCCTGTTTACTCTCAGTATTGTCTAGTCCTACACCCAGGTAATATCTGAATAGGCATTGGTGTTTAGTCAAAAGTAGAAGGGTTTCAGTTTATTTATTAATACTTGGCCAAAGATATACAAAAGTTCACACCCACCCTGTGGAATGCCCTCCCACCAGATTTCAAAGAGGGGAAAAAACCTACCAGACTTTTAGAAGACATCTGAAGGCTGCCCTGTTTAGGGAAGCTTTTAATGTTTAACAGACTATTGTATTTTAATATTTTGTTGGAAGCTGCCCAGAGGGGATGGGGAAACCCAGCCAGATGGGTGGGGTCTTATTATTATTATTATTTACTGAAATAAAAGGGATTGTTTAATATAAAAAGGAACAGAGGCAGAAAGAAAAAATAAAATAAAAAAGGAAATAAAGGAAAGAAGAGAGAGAGAAAATAAAGAAAGATAAAAAGACTTCCAGTTCTCTGTCCTGCAGCTAAATATGGTATTCACTCATTAATTTCCAACCGTTCTATCTTCTATAACCCCCCCCTTTCCCCCCCTGTCTTCAAATCCAAATACTGCAATTTCCAATCTGGATATTACAAGTGGAGGGGTTTCAGACAGGGGTCTCTCCACAAAAGACAAAAGATGTATATGATCTGAAGAGAAACTAGAGTATGATTCAGGGGTCTCTCCCAACCATACTTGGAGCTGCCGGGGATTGAACCTGGGACCATCTGCATGCTAGACAGATGCTCTGCCATTGAGCTATGGCCCTTAATGCACGCAACTAACTTAGGACTAATAATTTCAATGGATCGATTCTAACTTAGTTGGATACAACCTATTGCCTTTGGGAACCTATTCCCCCCATCTTGACCATCTCTAGGTCAAGTGCGCTGAGTGTTTGACTATCACATTGCCTGTGCTCACAGCATATTCCCAGTCTCATGGCTGCACCAGCGACACGCTGATAGAAGAAAGAGCCAGTGCCATCTATATTACCTTTGCCCCCCTCGCCAGCCCCTTCCAATTACTGCAGAGCCAGATAGAACAGGGTCAGCGTATTTTCTTGACGGATTCATTTCTCTGAGTTCTGCTTAACACTGCAAGCTTGGTTACACATGACATTTTAGTCTGTGAGCCTGTTGGTCCTTCTTCCCCCCTTCACCCCCCGGAGTGCATTTCATACGCTCCACGAAACTTTGCTACAGAGAGAGCTGCCAGCCACCCAGGCTCTGCGCCATTGGCTGTAATTAACATTGCGCTCAGATGACAGCGTACGGCACATATGCAAAAGAAAGAAATAAAAGCCAGCGCCCAAGAGTTCCCGATCTCTTCCCCAAGAGAGAACGGTGATGGTCATTTTTCACATGACTAAGCCTTAATCATTAGCGTTGCTTGGAAATGGGTGTGTCCTTTCCTTAAAATCCTGGTCCTGTAAACCTCCGATTCAGCAACACAAGCATGAAACTTGCAGAAAGCAGCTGGCAGGGATGCCAATTTGCATAAAATATTTTTTGGGGGGGCCAGGTAAGACCCACCCTAGGTAATCAATTGCAAGATGTGGCACATGCACCCCATTTGAATGGCACAGCCCATCAACTCCCCTCAAATACTTTATGGGGGGCAGGGGGTGAAGGGACCTCAGCCCCTAGGAGTTGGCTCCTATGATAGCCGGGAACACAAAAGCCAAGAGAATCTCATCGTGTAGGAGGGAGAAAGCTCTGCTCCACTGGTCTAAATAGGCCTGTGAGTCTGTTTCGGCCAAGTCATATCTATGTGCCCTACTATCAGGCATCAGGGAATCTGATTCCCACCCCACCCCCAGGCAGGCTGCCAGGTATAAATAGACAATAGAAACTCTTACCAAAGTCCTTTATTCAATATTCACAGAGAGAGGCTTAGAAAGGGAGCCACTTGGAGTAATAGCATTGCTCAGAGTAATCTCCACACCCCCCTTCCCTTCTCAATTGTCAACAGCACCACCCCCTCATTATGGTGGCTGCTTGGGGCCACTTGCCTCTTAGCTCTTTGCTCTCCTACTTTCAGTGCTCACTGGGTTCTGGGAGAAGGGGTTGTGGTGGTCTGGAATGCTTTCTAATGATAATGTGTCAACCAGCTGCTCTGGCTCTGCTTCTCCCCTCCTCTTTTCCCACTTTTCCCCAGCTTTGTCCCTCATCTATCTCTGAGCTGTGACCTTCTGCAAACTACTGTTGTAAATCTACACTGTCTTCCTCTTCTCTGTGTGGTGCAGGAGGAGAGGGGGCAGTCTCCACCATGTGGGAATGTTCAGGGATGCAGGAGAGGATATATTGTTTGGTTATAGCCTTTCCAACTTGTGTTAACAAGTTCACAATTTAGCAGAGTAACATCCCCTTTTTAAACTCACAGCGGAATAACAACTGTTCTGATATTTACCCCTTATTCCCTCATAAAAGATAAGACACGACACAGTCTTCTATAAAAGTATAAAAAGAGTTTACTCACATTCTGTTCACAATCGGATCCCAGAAGGCAGACTTAGCTTAGAAAAGTAACATACACCTGGAAACTATCTCATAAGGAGACAGTCCCTTTGTCCTCTCTTGGCCGAAGAGAGCATCTTTGGCTAAACAGATGTTGCTTCTTTGATGTATGTAGTCAAAGAGAGAGAGATGGCGGCCAGTCCTATGCTCTTGTTACCTGCACAGGTGAGGCCACGCCCACCTCTAGTCACATGCAGAGGAAGTCTGTCCCAGCCCAGAAGGAAACAGGAAGTTTACCTGCTGGCTGGACAAACATTCCTCCCCGTGTGTAAACATGTTCACTCTAGGAATGTTGTACTTGACTGCTCTTGTGTTTCACATCCCACACACCATTCTTCCTCAGTCCAGCCCCTGACACCTACACTTGACACCAGAACTTTCCCTGAGTGCAGAGCTACATAAGAAGAACCCTGCTGGATGAGGCCAATGGCCCATCTAGTCCAGCATCCTGTTCCTACAGTGGCCAACCAGATACCTGTGGGAAGCCTGAAAGGACCCAGGAGCAACAGCCACTCTCGCCACTGGTATTCAAAGGTATAATGCAGGCATAGGCAAACTTGGCCCTCCAGATGTTTTGCAACTACAACTCCCATCATCCCTGACCACTGGTCCTGTTAGCTAGGGATTATGGGAGTTGTAGTCCCAAAACAACTGGAGGGCCGAGTTTGCCTATGCCTGGCATAATGCCTCTGGCAGTGGAGGTGGAGCTTAGATATCATGGCTAGGAGTCACTGATAGCCTCATCCTCCATGAATTGATCTAATGTTCTAAAGCCATCCAGGTGGGTGACCATCAGTGCCTCTGATGGGAGCAAATTCCAGAGGTTAGCTATGCACTGAGATTAAAATATACTCTGTGTGCAGCATTATGGCCAGGATGGATAAGCCTGTTGCCCTCCAGAGGTTGTGAGAATGCAGCTCCCATCAGCCCCAGGTCTGCCAGAGGTTTGGGAGTCCAACAGCATCTGCACAGCCACAGGTCTCCCTCCTTGCACAGCAAGCCAGAAGATGATGAAGGCAACAGCTTAGTGTTGACTCCGAAGGCTTGGGTGATGATTTGAAGCAGGGGTGTTCAAAGAAGCACAAACACCTTGGCTTCAATGAAAGCAGCCCTAGGTGGAGCTCCCACAGCTCCCTTCCCTTGAGCATGCTGGCCCAAATTTGGCTTGCACCCAGCTGCTGCCACTCCCTGCTCACTCTGCCAGCCCTGCTTCTCCCGGGGGGCGGGGGAGGGAAGAAGAAGGAGACGACTTACTAACAAGGAGAGGGTTGGAAGCAGCAGTGGTGGCGGACATCCCAGAGGCAGAAACTGATGCCAATTGCCTCTTTGCTCTGGGGATTCATAGATATGACTCTAAGCCTCATAATCCCTGGCTGGCAGTGATGCTCCACTTGTCATTTGCTGCTGAGGAGGAGGTGGAAGTCTGGGCTACTCTCCAGAAGTTTTCGCTTGTGCGGAAAGCAAGTGCTCTGTGGCACTCTTGACAGCACCCTGGCAAAATGACAAGTTGTCTGGATTCCTTCTGTCCTCTGATCCCAGTTGATCCTCCCTCGAACCTCAATAGGCCTCTAAATACCAGTTGTTGGGTCCTGCTTGTGGGTTTTCCATTAGCACCCAGTTGGCCACTGGGAGAACCAGGTGCTGGACTTAGATGGGCCTCCAGGCTGATGTAGCAGCCCTCTTATGTGCAGATACCTAGTTACCAGTTACATATTCTACATCACGTTTTATGGGTGCATTTCTGCATAATTTTCTGTCTTTACTCTTCTGGTTTGCCCTTGAGTGCCTGTACAATTAAACACTGTGTCTGTATCAAGCACAGTGCAAATTGACTTCAGATAAAATTAAAAGCCAATAAATCTACATTAAGTAAGAGCCTTCACTGTATTTTCAGCACCTGCTCAAAAGCCTTTTTATTTAGGCTAGCCTGTCCAGATGTTGTTGTGTTTTGATCTCTTTTTAGTTTACTGTTGATTTTAATATGTCTTTCATATGTTTTAACTACTTCTTCTTAACTGCTTTTATCGAGAATTTTAATTTCTTATAAACCCCTTAGAGGTTTCGTTACTAGGAAGTGGTATATAAATTTTGCTAAATAATTAAATGATGTACCAATGCCAGCTAGCCAGGGACCTAAAACCTATAAAGTATATCATGAGAATAAATAAAATCAGATTGGTCAGGTTCACCAATGGCTTTCTGAAATTAAGTATGTCTTGGCCAGCCTCATAACAAACAGAAGTGAATGAGTGTCAGATGATCACAATGAAACTCAACACATTTGATTGATGGGGCCTTTGGAGTGACCTCAAAGCCCATGGTTGTTGGCTGAACAGCATTTTTGGTACCTACAAAATATTTTCTGAAACGTTGGGCTGAAGGTGTGGCTAGAGCAGTGATGGCCCTCTGGCTGTTTTGGGACTACAATTCCCATAATCCCTGACCACTGGTCCTGTTAGCTAGGGTTGATGGGAGTTGTAGTCCCAAAACAGCTGGAGGGCCAAGTTTGGCCATCACTGGGCTAAAGAGACCTATATCATCACTCAGTGATCCTGTTCTATCTCCTAAATATGCAAAACCCGAAATGATCCCTTCTTCTTTTTACACACACACAAAAAAAGGAAAACACATTACTCTTTCCAACAAATGAAATAAATCCCTTTTGTGTTAGGATTATTGAATTACTTATTTTGTGGTTGAAACAAAATCTTTAAGCAGTGCTTTCCAGCTTGGCGATGGATCTGAAATGAAGTAAAAAAAAGCCCAGAAATGTGCAAATGTAATACCGAAAGCAAGGAGAGAGGCTAATCTCTGTGTGCTGGGAAATGACTTTGTCTTTGAAATGAAGCCAAATGTATGGACTCATTTTTAGTGTAGCTGCACATTGCAGTAGTCCATCCGCCCCTATCACCCCTCCACCATGTAGCTGTGTATATTATAAGGAGAGCTTGTTGTAGAGGAAGGAGAAAGAATAGCCAGACCAAATTACTGTAGATTGTTTGCAGGCTTCTGAGCACCCAGCTGATGGAAGAGCAGGATATTCATTTGCATCTGCGTCATGGCATTGGCTAGCTGCTCTTGTTGCCAGCCAATATACACCCCTGCCAGAGACCGCTAGCTGTTGCCTGTGATTTGTGGAGCATGACTATAGGTGGTTTGCTGGGAAGCCAGGACCCCCTCCTGACTAGTATGCCATACCCTCCAAGTTCCCCGAATTTCCAGGGACAGTCCTGGAATTATGAAAGCCAT